GGGGCCAGCGCGCCGGGCGGGGGCGCCGGAGTTGCCGGGCCGGGGGGGAGGGGGGGAAGTGGCGCTGCCACGGGCGACTTGCTCAGACTCAGCCCAAAGTGCTGCGGGCGTGGGGAGCGTGAGGGGAGCCCCTGCCCGCGAGAGCCGGGGTCCGTGGGCGGCGTGGGGGTGCAGCTTCTGGCCCTTTGCTGGAGCCTGGTGGACTGGGTGTCGCCTCGTGCAGGACAGCGGGGCGGAGACGACCCCGGCAACTGTCTGGACTGCCGTGCGAACCGAAAGGGATGCAGAATATCGCACCGAAAATGCTGAACATTGACCACATGCTTTAATTAGGTTAGCTTTGTGGCCAGAGCCAGGAAATCTCACTTGAACGCCGATGCACTGTCGTCGCAGCTTTGCGAGTAGGAAAGGGTACACAGTTAAGACAAGTTGTGGGTTGATGGGTCGGCCAGCTTTAACTTTAAGTTTGAGAGTTATCAGTCTGGATCTTGGACATGTTTTGAATGTCTCGATGCAACTTCTTGAGGTCTTTCAAAGGAGACTTCTTGGGAATACAGGAGGATAAAGACTTTCTCTGGGATAAGTGGTGCTTTTCACGTATTTGTAAATACAACCTTTTAAAAAGAGACAACTTTCTGGATACTCTCCAGATTCACCTTTATGATGCCTTTAGAGACCCGGGTGTTTAGGGATTGAAATAAGCGTCTGTAACGACGACAGCCCGTGGCTCCAAGTGATCCTTCTAAGGTGGTGTAGCATCACTGCTAGTGGCCGGGAATGGAGCTTTGTTGATAACAGTGCTAGTCTTCTAGCAACTTTTTTTTGTTTTGTTATTGCCTTTAAAAAGTTAATGTTTTGTCAAATTCTCTAAGGGAGGTTACATTCTGCAGACTAATGGGAAGATTATTGCCTTTCCTTGCGTTGTGTGAGGGTCAGCCCGCTTGAGCCAGCCCTGAAAAAGGTCCATGGTCCCTCCTTTCCAGGCGTTTTACACTTTAGTTGTGCCCTGGTGCATTCAAGGCACTCTTTGTAGGTCTCGGGGATGTAAAAGGAAAACTCCCTGCTCCCAAGATTTGCTTCCGGGAATGGAGTGTTTCGTGGGGGAAGGGCCAGAAGTAGGGGCTAGGATGTACACAAGAGGTCTTCCAGGCGAAGTCGTGGGGAAGTACTGAATGTGATGGAAGCGGGGATTCACTTTCTATATTAGATCATAAACTTAATCCCGAGTGTTCACTTTTGCATTTGTTTTTGTGGTTATAAAAAATTGATTGTATTGGCATTGGGCCAGAGGTGCCCATTATATGGAAGTTGTATCCTTTGTGGATAAAGATAAATCTGATTTACCACTGACCACTGGTTCATCACGAAGTAGTAAATTGACTTTATGTGTAGTCCCTATCTTCCTGTTTTCGCCTATGTTTCTTGTAGAAAACATTTTAAAGCAACGTTTTGTAGGAGGTTTGTGTTCAGTGTTTTTGAATGCCTATTGTATGGACCTTCCATAGGAAGAGGTGGAGGTATGTGATGATCTGTGTTTCCAAGAAGACTGTTGGTGAACAAATTAAGTACGTTGCAAATAAATGATACACTTGCGCAGTGGAGGGTTTGAATCTAGGGGAACAGGCAACAGGTATAATTGAAGAGTTAACTGGAAGTGTCTGGTGGTCTGTCTTTCCAGCTGTCTTCTAACTTACCTACTTGGAGGAAACATTGTGACTGTATTACAATTAAAAGTTGGTATTTGAGCCAGGCCTAGTAGCACACACCTATAATTTCAGTACTCAGGAGGCTGAGGAGGTTGAGGCCAGCCTGGGCTGCATAAGTGAGACTCTCAAAAAAGAGGATCAGCAAGATGGCTCAGCAGATAAAGGATTTTGCCATCAAACGCGATGACGAGTTTGATCTCCAGGACCCACATGGAGAGAACTGACTTTCACAATTGTCACATGCCAGATTGTGGTCCCAGGGTGCTCACACACATACTATACCCACATATAGAAGAAAGAAGTTGGGTGCTGGGTCGGGTGGTACATGCCTTTTAATTTCAGTACAGAGACAGGTGAATCTGGGTCTACATAGTGTGGTCCAGGCCAGGTGGGGCTACAGGGAGACCCTGCCTCAAAAAACACCCAAAGGGGGCGGGTTGCTTCGTGCTTGAAAGACTGGATTTGGAGTCAAACAGCAAGCAATTGAATTCCAACCTGTTGTGTTGGGTAAATTAGCCTTGAAAGCTCAGTTTCCTCATCTATGAAATTGGGATCAGTGCTTCCCTGGTAGAACTGAGGTTTAAATGAGAAAATGCATGAAGCACACCCCTTTAGTTCCCACAACAAGCGTGGAATACACGGTAATCATTATTGTTCTGTAACTAGTCTAAAATGCCTCCCTGAGGCCCATTTTTTTTCTAAAGATACAGAGTCATGTTCTGATCAAGAAGGCCTTTTTTTGTGGGGCAGGGAGATACCCAACTGTAAATGAACACTGTGGTCTTGAAGGCTGGGGAGAACACCATGTGCTTTAGTGACCAGGCTGAGGGACATAAGTCGTCTTTTTTTTTCCTCCAGAAGAAATGTTTTTCATTTGGCCTCAGGCTGCACAGATGTAGAGTGCCTGTAAACAGGAGTCTTTCCTGACTTGATAGGAGGGTAGGTCTTCATAACTCCCCAAACTTGAGTGGGTTGTCTAACTGTGAGACCTTGGTTTCTTCACTTAAAAGGAAGCAGTTATGTCTAATGCTTAGCATGGAACCTGGTACATAGTAGTAGGTAATTAGGATAGTTAAGTGGCTATTGAAAATATGCTTTATGAATAGAAATACGGGAACAGATTCTGCAAATTCCTTCCAGGATTAAAGAGCTTCTGTTAACAGGTAGAGTAGGATAGACCTACTCCCTGTGAATTAGGTGAAAGCATATCTGTTTTTATTTATTTATTTTTAATTTATTGTGCCATGTGCACAGGGGTCACAGTGCTTGTGTAGAGGGTGAACAGCTTTGCTGAGTTTGTTCTCTCCGTCCACTTTTACATGGACTGCTGGGATGGAATTTGGGTGCCTTTACCTGTTGAGCCATCTCACTGTTCTCAAAGCATATTTTTGATTAGGCATAAATAAGAACATGGGTTTCATAAAAGACCAGGCATTCTTTGTTTATTATTTTTATGTGTATGAGTGCATTACCTGCGTGTGTGTATGTGCACCCGTGTGGTGCAATGCTCAAAGAGGTCAGAAGAGGACATTGGTCCTCTGGAACTAGAATTAGGACAGTTGTTAGCCTTCATGTGGGTGCTGGGAATTGAACCCTGGTCCTCTGTGAGAGCAGTCAGTGCTCTTAAACTGCTGAGCCAACTCTCTAGCCCAGCATCCTTTATTTTTTAAAAAAAGTTTAAAAAATTGGAGCTGGAGAGAAGGCTTAGTGGATAAGAACACTTCCTATCCTTTCAGGGGATCAAGTTTGGTTCCCAGCTTGGTTCCCAGGGTACATGTCAGTCAGACTCAGCCGGCTCACAACAGATCCTACACGTAACTCCAACAGATCCTACACATCTGGCCCCCTCAGGCACTTGCACACACGGCATCCATTCTCTCTCTCTCTCTCCCCCCCCTCTCTCTCACACACACACACAAATTAAAAAAAAATTGATTTGTTTACGTTTTAAAAATTGTTATAGTTGTTGCTGGGCGTGGTGGTGCGTGCCTTTAATCCCAGCACTCCAGAGGCAGAGGCAGGCAGATCTCTGAGTTTCAAGGCCAGCCTGGTCTACATAGTGAGTTCCAGGACAGCCTGGGCTACAGGGAGACCCTATCTCAAAAAGACAAAAAAAATTGTTATAGTTGTATATATATTTCATATTGTACAATCCAGTGGTTGACCTATATGTACATGTAGAGTCCTGTCTTAAGTGTAGCCAAGGTAACCTGCATTGCTTCATGTAATTTTTTGTGGTGAAAACACTTCATATACACTGAGCATTTTCAGTACTACAGTACGCCATTCTGTGATCACCGTGCAGTAGATCTCTTGAACACATTCCTTCTACTTAATTGTATCAGCGTTTTTCTCTAGCCCTCAACTACTTCTCCCTCAACTACTCCAGCCTCTGGTAACCTTTGTTCTCCTCTGAGCACATTTGAGGTCAACTACCTGTGATACTTGTTTTTCTTTATTTCACTTAACATACTGACTTTCATTTCTATCTGTCCTCACAAATGACAGCTATTTCTTCATGATGGAATAGTGTTCTTTATTTCTTTATTTGTTCATCAACAGACTCAAACTAATTCCATATCTGGGCTCTTGTGAACAGTGCCACAGTAAACATGGGAGTGCGGATGTCTCTATGTACTGGTTTTATTTCCTTTGGAAGTGTGTCTGGAAGTGTGTAGATCGTCTGGTTAGTCTTCATCCTAGGTTTTTGAGGACTACAGTTCTATAGTGGTTTATTAATTTGCATTCCCACCAACAGTGTGCAGTTTCCTTTCTATGCCCTTGTCAATGGTTGTCTTTCGTCTTTCTGATAAAGTCATTCTAACAGAAGATTCTTAACAGTAATTTAAAAAATTTATTCTGTGTATGATGTGTGCATGTGTTTGTGTGTAGGGGGAGTGCACATGTGGAGGTCAGAGGACAGCTTTGTGGAGTTGTTTCTTTTACATCTTTACATGGGTTCCAGGTATTGAACTCATGTTGTCAAGCTTGTGTGGCAAGGGCCTTTACTCACCAAGCCATCTTGCTGGATCCAGTTGTAGTTTAGATTTGCATTTTTCTCACTACTGGTGTTGAATAGTTTTAATGTATCTGTTGGCCATTTAAGAAACATCTATTCAGATCTTTAGCCCATTTTTTGTTGCT